AATGGATAGGCTATATATGTATATTATTCATTTTAATTTCATAGGAAAAGTATCTAGCAGGCTGCACCTACCAAAGCATAAGTTGTTCAGGGTCTGTTGTTGTTTGAAATCACTCTTCATTTGCTATTAATCATTTTATGATAATAATAGTATATATCTAATTTTTCTAAAAGTGATCAATGATGTAGAATACAGAGTTACGCATACCTTTTGTTGGTGTTGCAAAGTAGAGCATTCTATACAATGAGAATCAGAAATGTCAAATAGAGTAGGAGAAGACTTGACAGAAAGCAGAAAAAAATGTTTTGGCAAGTCTTGTCTCTCATTAATATGTAAATTAATTTTACTTATATTAATAAGTTGCCCAACCCTGTTAAGAAAACCAAATGATAAACTTGTTCATTTTGTTCCTTCACTTGTTGGATGACCAGTGGGAGGTTGTTGATGTGATGGTCCTGGTTAGCGATGGTTAAGGAAAAATCTCATGATGGTTTGTATAAGTATGTACGATGGTTGCTGAGTTCATTGTCTCATCAGTTGTCTCAACATTAAAATCAATTGGTACATAAAAACGTTTGAGTTTGGTGCACGTTAAACCAAAGGCATTGTGGGATGTTGATTCCGGTACTTGGAGAGACCACTATATAAATTTTTATAACCTATTTATTGCTGTTAGAAGAAGAGTATACAGACGAGCAGGCAAGCAGGATGTGCGGTAACTGGTGAGAGGGCCATAACTCCAAGTCAGGGTGTGCCTGATGAATGGAAGCTCTGGACACAGATATCTGGCTTGTGCTAGCGACGGCAGTCCTCCTTGTTCAGCAGGCAGGTGACTGAGCAGGCTGTAGGGCGATAGGCATTGACAAGGGCCTTCCCAATGGGTCTGTGCGACCATTCTAGGGGTCGGCTGATGAGTGTTGATGCTAGGAGACTCGCTGTTGCTGTTTGCGTTCCAGGTGAGCTGTCTCGAGGTAAGAGTAGTTGTGACTGACTAGCTTGATGTGGTCTACATCTTTATTTGCTGTTGCTAGCAGTGCCTAGCCCAATGGGTGTTGGTGCCGCCATTGTCTATGCTGATTATCCAGCGTTTAGCTTCGCTCTGCTGGTCAACCAGAAGTTGGTAGTTGGCCTGGAGTTGTGTTGTGGTAGGCTCTGACAGCATGTTCAGCAGTCCTGCAAGCTGTGCTTTTTCATTACAGATTTGTGTATCATTGTTCAGAGCTTTTACCAATACAGTTTCATAGCTCACTCAGAGAAAGCAAAGGGCCATTTGAAATGAATTAAAATGGAAAATTTAGCCCATCATTATCATGGAAACAGAGCTGATCCCTGGTTGTATTAACTTTTTTCTAGTAAGTGCTTGATCAAATGCTGAGTTCCTCTGAGCTGTATCATCATTGTTTCACCCAAATCCACTGAAAAAAGCAGTGAGAAGCGAGTGAGCACCAGCAACTGCAGTTAGAATAGTTTTTATAATTATCATATACTGAACTGCATATTACTGGCTTCCTGATTCTTGTGTGTTTCCTTTCAGTGCTTTCAGGATAGGCACATTCCACAGTTCTTTGAAGTGGCTGGCTTGGTTTCTCCACTGATCTTCTGTCAGTTAGGACGGAGTCTTTCTGAGGGAATTTCCTTGACCATATTACCCTTGGAAGTTTCTCTTCCAAGAAAATGGAAAGATAAATTTTGGAAAGAACATATAGTTGCTGGTAATAAAGACTGTTCTTATTTTAAAATGAGGACAGTATTTCAATACTTATTTCATTAAAGTATTTATGTATTGTATTTATGTGTTTCAGCAATGGAGTGTGAAGACCAGTAGAACCGTGTTTCATTATGCCTTAGGATATAGAAGAGTGCATTGGTAAGGGAAGCCAAGAAACCATATTGTCACACATTTGACAGGCGTGTTTTGGATTGATAACCAGATTTATTGGACACTTCTACAGCTCGTGACTTCACAGGTCACTGTCACACACAGACTAGGGTCCTCAGTCATGTTCCTTGGCAACAGCTTCCAGCGGTGGATGTTCCTCTGCTTCAGGGCTCACGTCCTTGTGGGGTGGCGACCATCTCATGCCAACGTTATACTCTGACTGCTGGCTTTGGCTGGTACTCCATTCAGCTGCTAGCTCCTGGATTGAAATGAACTGGCTTTCAACTGCCGACTTCCAACTACAGCTGCCAATTCTTGACTGGCTCTCGAGCCATTCTGGGGTCCCCTTATATGCCCTTGGCGCACACTACATAGAAAACACCACTTCCAACAGTTCCTCCATTGTTGCTTGTGTACGTTACTTGGTGATGGCTCTGGTAGTGTTTTTTTTTTTTTTTTTTACACAGCCGTTGCTTAGCAATCACCGTTTCTCTGGCTCCATTATTCTAATTGTCAGGCCTTATGTCACAATATTATATACATGATGCCATGAAATGTTTGGTTCCTTACACAAAATCAAGACATCAAGGTGGTAATGTTGGTGAATCCAGGAAATCAGAAGTTGAGCATGAGATTGGTTGTGAATATAGTGCTGAAGAATCCCAGTGTTTGAGAAGTTATGTTAATGATCCTGAAGGTAATTGTGAGAGCAGTGAATGCACAACACATGACACTGACTAGCATGAAATTATGCCGAACCCAAATCATCATGGGGAGATACTTGAGCTGTTCCCTTCAAGTTGGAAGGTACCTAGATAGAAAAATGTAATAAAATGAGTTATAATAATTGGGGAAAAAAGCTACATCAGAGTACCTTCAAGGACTTGACAAAAGTAGTTTGGAAGAAGGCAGTGATCTGCAGTTTCTCAAGTCTTCTTCCAGATATGAAGAAACTGAATGATAAATGAAGAAATATAAGCAGTGAGTTGTACTGCTATTTGATGAGAGACTTCATGGAAATTCACTGAATAATTCTACTGAATATCAAAACTTAGAAATGTCTTCACCATTGTCAGTTTCTACAGACATCAGTTACACATCTTTGAACTGCTCCCAACCTCATCACAGACTTTAAACAGCTTTGTCACAGAATGTATTTTCTAGAATTCTGTGTCAACATTTAGTTTGATTGAAAATTATCCTTGAGATTTCAGTTTTCTGTTATAACTTCTAAGATTTCTTTTATATTATCTATATAGGAATGTAATGCAAGTAATCTTATTTGCAATTTATTGATTAACATCCTTTTGTATAAAGTTGTGTAAAAATGTGTACAGTGAAAAGTACTGAAGTATATTTGTACTGAAAGTGAGAAAGTTGTAAAAGGTAAATAGAGTGCGAATAAGTACAGTAAAATGCACTTTTTATCCTTGGATAATAAGATTTTTCATTCCTTCATTAGTATGTCAGTTAACTGAGAATGTATGGCACATCATATGTGTTAGAACTTGATTAATGGGCATATTTGTTTCAAAAAGTAATGAATGTAGGGTTATTTGTGGTCCCTATACTTCATCTTATATTGACTACATTAAATAAAGGCCTTATTTAGAAGCTAATATTTACTCAGTCAGTCAGTGAAGAAACCCTTCTTCTGTTAGTCGCTGGCTTCCCACCGCGGCAGCCCAGTTTTGATCCTGGGTCTGGTCATGTGGGATTCATGGTGGACAAAGTGGCGTTGGGGCGGGTTTTCTCCGAGTACTTCGGTTTCCCCTGCCAATCTTCATTCCAGCAATTCCTCCATCATCATAATCACCTGGGGCAGGCTACAATAGGCCAATCAATGGCCGCCTTGCTGAGTGGACCCAGTTGGACTCCACCCCCCCACTAAGCGAACCCCTCTTCTGAGGAACCTGAAGGTTCATTACTTTGTTAACAATTACCTGTCACTGTGCCTTATCTTGAGCCAGATGAATCTGATCCATGCCTTCCTTTAAAATCTTTTAAGGTATATTTTAATATTAATATCTCATTTACACCTGGGGTTCCCAAGTGTTCTTGTCCCCTGAAGATTTTGTACTATATTTGGGCAGCCTAATAATTGTTGAAGAATACAACTTATGAAGTTCCTATTATATAAAGAAAGCTATCTGCAATAAGAAAACTATTTATGTACTTTTTTTTTAATTCGCTTAGTGTGGGGTGGAGTCCAACTTGGTCCACTGGGCACAGTGGCCACTGATTGGCCTATTGTAGCCTGACCCAGGTGATTATGATGATGGAGAATTTGGAGGAATGAAGATTGGCAGGGGAAACGGAAGTACTCGGAGAAAACTCGCCCCAGCGCCACTTTGTCCACCGCAAATCACACTTGATCAGACCTGGGATCAAACTCGGGCCGCCGCGGTGGGAAGCCAGTAACTAACTGCTTGAGCTATGGTGCGGCCTTCAATGAATTTATGCACTTGGTTTGTGTGTTAAGAAATACATCCAGAATGAATATATTATTTTCACAATCCCATTATTATTATTTGTATTACATAGAGTTGTTTGAAATGTGGTGCACAGTAAATACAGACATCAGTAAATAATTTGAATATAGAACAAACTGCATTTGTTTTATTATGCCTGCAAGTCTTGAGAGAAGGAAGACAGTTTTAGGATACAATGTAAACAGTGCTGTGGATTTCAACAGCCTGCTCTTGCATTTAGTATAATGACTTTGTTGTAGCATCTGTTATGACTTGCATTTCGCTAATTATCTTTACAGAATTTTCCACAGGCTTCATGTTTCTGATAGAATTTTAAATTCTTCCACAGTTTTCAAATGTAGGCACACATTTTGCATAAATTATAATACCGTGAAAACATAAATTTTCCGATTGTTGCCTGTATGCTCAATACATAATAAAGTGTACACCTTATTTTCTATATTATTTTGTGACCTATGCCTTAACTTACATTCCTAAAGCACATTATTGTTTGTAGTTACAACTATTTTTACATGTATTTTCTTTAGGACATCTTATTGTGCAAGGTGTGCATGTGAACATACTCATCTATTTCAATATTTTTAGCTATGGACAGAATTCAGTTGGTGGGTAAAGTATAAGAAATCCCATTAGGCTTCATAAAATAAAATTATACATATTTTATTACATTGTCATAGCTTCTCTACAGTCATTTACATATTTTGCTTTGTACATTCATTTCTTCAACTTGGTACCAATATAGAAAAACCTCTTCAACTGGAAGTGAAGTCAGTGAAGCTTAAAGGTAAACATCAGCAATTTTTTTGTATTCTCCAGAGATATTCATATTTAACATTGTGTATACATGGTACTGATGTATATAATGTTTGATCCCAATTATAGTTAGCTTGTTTATGAATTTATAATTTAGACAATCCTATGTTTTGATGCTTAAATGGCGAAAAGATACTTCAGTTTTAACATTGTACAAGTGGGAAATCTTCCACCTGAACAATATTTAGATAAAAGGCACAAAGCCCTGCCCTCCCGCATTTATCATTCAGTATTCAAAGTCAGAAACTTAACTTTAATTTTTATTCCCTTTCAAATTAGACTAATATGCTTCAGCTGAATTCTTTATAGCAAAACAAGGCATTATTTTCACATTAAAATGAGTTTTTATGTTGCATAACTTTTATTTTAATGGTTCACAAGTAATGCTGTTCATTATTACAAGCTAAGTTCTGTAAAAGGAATTTGAATATTCTGTACCAAAGTATGAAGGAGTACTTTTAAAAATTCATTCTGCTGTTGGTATATTAGGCATTTTTATATTATGCAGTGTATAGATCTTTTGCGTTTCCAATTCTATGGCATTCTTCAGAATGTACTAATATTCTAAGTGACTTAATATACTCTCTTCCTTAAGTTTTAATTTATATTAAGAGTTGTTTACCTTTTGATGAGATGTTCAGCACATTTTTCCTAGTATTTCCTTAACTGTGACATACTTCAAGTGCAACATGTTACAATTATAACACGAGTACTAACCACACTGAATAGAGATTAACAGAATTCTAGTGATTTTCAATTTAACCTGTAGCAATAGATGATGATAACTCTTCACACAGATTTCACAGACTTGCACAATTTATTCCATTTTTGGGAGACTTGAGTTATGAATGTGTGACATAATGCTTCTAGTGAAGACTTTTAGATATGAACTGATGTAACCTTCAAAATGTGATAGTATTTTTTAGGGGAAAACCTGGAACTCTGCTAGAGTGATGAAGTGTTATGTTTCTAAGCTCATCTCTGAATATAACTAATTATGTGTATGGTGATTCTAAAATGAACACTGAACGATAAATAGGAGTTTGTTATGCATTAGTGGAAGTTCTAATTTTCACAAGAAACACTGATACAATCTAATTATAATGTTGCTGTTAGATTTTTTAAATTTATAACTGCTTACAACATAGTATTTTAGCATTTTATGCAATTCTAAGCTATTCAGAGCTTATGGTATATGTATCCGAGTCAGGCTTTTCAGTAATATTCTATATGTAATGAAATGATAATTTTATGTTCAGTACGGTTTTTCTGGGCAATGAAAAAAATGGAGGGTGCTGTCTAGGGTGGTGAAAATTCTTTAAATATCTTGTAGGTAACTACTTTTAATACTTTTCCTCAACATTTTCTCATTCAGTCAAAAGATTACCAAGTGTATTGTCATTTAAATTTGTTGTATTTGTGCTTAGATCGATATTAACACTGTATCCCATATTCTGAAAACATACATCACAACATGTATATGAAGTGCCCTGTAACTTTGTTGCCATCAAATGAAATTATTAAGTAACATTGCCAATTAATGTCATGCTTACATAGGGAAAGTGTTACATGTTTACCGTGAGGAAGCAACAGGTATAGGGACAGGGAGCGGGGTGTGAAGGAAGTGGTGTGCAATACACGGACTCCTCCAGCACTGCCAATCCTCTTCACGGTCTTGGGTTCTTCTTAGAAGAGCGATGCTCCTCTGAGCTGCCTGCTGACAGCCTGCATCTCCAAGACAAATCAAATCAGCCTCAGTGATGAACATGAGGTCACATGCAGCTGGAGACGGAGCTCCCAGTTCTGGGCCCTGATGAAGAAATAGTTCTGATATAATGGAAAATAATTTATAGTGCACAGGGTTAAAAAATGGTAAATTTTATGTCAGTAACATTTATCTAGCTCTTCATGGATTAATATTTTACTTTCCGGATTGTGGCTGCTCTCTGCCACATAACAAGAGTTGAGAATTGATGAATGTTATCCTTGATCAGTGGTAAATCTCTGTACAGCCCCAATGTTGTTCATTTGGTTAACAGGAAAACTGTAAGTAGTGGTCCATTCCAACTATCCTGTAATATTTATTGATGATACAGAAGTGGAACTGAGTGGAAGCAGGCATGGATTCTTCTTGATGAGGCATTACTCCAGCATTTACATGAACATGCTGGAAGAAAACACATGCCTTCCCAACTGATCTACCATCTTCAGTCCTGGAGGAACTGTGAGGTTTCGTTAGTGCTTATTTATGTAATACGTTCTTGTGAATCCAGTAAGTATGCTAATAATTGGTGATCTTGGGAGATATGGAATGTTTCTCAAGTTCATAATTTAGTGCAGAAGGGAGTATTACATATTTGCAAGAGTTTAAAACAACACTGACAATTTATATGGTATTACAGAAGATTTATGCAATTATATTGTGCTGGCTACACAATAGGATGCACAAAATTCACACGTGAACTGTTGGAATGTAGCACTTCAAGCCCGTGATGATCTTTGTTGGTTTTTATAAACAGAGTTTGATAAAGTTTTATGTTGACTACGAGTTACTTATGGATCAGGGCCTTCATTTTACTGTTGTATATATTTTGTTACAAATTTACCAATATTACTTGAATGAAATGATGGAATCTGTGGTTATTCAATCATATTTTTCAAAAGCATTAGTTGTATACTATCAAACGGTGATATGATTGATGATTGAAATGGATGGGGAAGAAAGAGGACGTAGCCTGTTTTAATGTTCTATTTTCCTAGAGGAACTAAGGAAAATAATGTAAAACATCATGCAGAATAGTCGGTCTCTGGGCCAAGAACCAAACTTGCAGCCTCCTAGGTATGGAGCTGGCATGGTAACCAGTTGCCTGTGACATTAAGTATTTCAGAGAAGCAGAAGATGTCAGTATTAATGAAAAAATGTTTTGTTATGAACACTTCTAATAGTGATTTTTGAGACATTTGATACAACTATTTGAATTTAAAGATTGCCTGTATTGATGCTCTTAAGTCCTGGTCCATGCATTTGAATCAAGTCTGAGTTATGAAGTGTCACATATTTCGTACACATACTATGGTGTGATTCCAGGGTTCCAGTCTCCAAAAACTTCAAATTATTTTTCTGGGTGGTGGTTTTTCACAGTACTTGGTGTGGTACTTTATTTATTTGGATAAATTGGACTTCATTTTGCCATTGTTATAGTTTTCCTTACTACTTCCATTGTTGACTTTAGATGGACTCAGGGATATGCTTTCTCATCAAAATTGTGTAATCATATTAGGAAGTCAGAATTAATTGGGCAAACTAAATTATTGTTATCAAATGTTAGTTATTCTGGAGTTATTAGAGTCTGGGATGATGTGAACAGTCCTTGTTGCAGGTGGTTAGAAAGAGATTAACCCATAAGCTTCCCAGTAAAGTCACTGCAGTATGATGCACTTGTACTTACACACAAGTAGCAGATCTGGTGTAGACTGCAGAGTGGAAGGAACAACTGCCCACGATCACCAACTAGATTTTCTGTAGTTTGACATGTGTTGAGAATTGCATCCAGCACTGGGCATTCTTCTGTGGCAACAAGTCACATATTTACATTAGCAGTAATGATGTGATATTTAGTGGCAGTTTTCAGTCTTTTACAACTGTAAATTGGTCTCTAAGTTACCATTCAATAAACTTATTGGAGAAATAGTCGCTGCCATGTATACCTTGAAAACTGCTGATATTATTGTATATGTACATTACAACTGATGGGTTACATTTGTGATGGTTCAGCATCTATTGTGAAAGTAATAATTTTGTTCTTTAGGAATAAGTGACATTTAATTCAAAAGCAATTACAGGCTTATGAACCACCATTTGAGAAATATAACTGTAATGTTTGCATTCAGATTCTGTAGAGCTGTTGAACTGTTGAACAGTCTATGATAGCAATATGTTTCTGGTACATATTGAAACTTTATTACCATTGACATTATCTACAAAATGTCTGCCCATATCGCCTTCGGATAAGGGTTGCATCACAACTGGTCCATCTAGGAACTTTCCCACATCTTCATCTGACTCTTCAGTTTGGCCATCGTCCCTCTTCTTTTTGTCATCATCCTTCTCTGCCTTTTCCTTTTTCACAGCCACTCGCTTCTTCTTCTCATCTTGACCACTAAAATGTTTGTTCTCAGGGTTGTATCTGCAACAACATTAGACACATGAAAGACTTTTTTCAGTGTTTCTAACCTCAGAACACTGTTTCTCATTACATATCTATTAAAATGTTTCTCCCCCCTTTTTGTTTCATATTAGTCTGAAATTTGGCTTTGCATTTTGTGGCAAGAATGAAAATGTCTGAGCAGATTGATGAGGGAGGGATTTGGACCCTAAGAGACATGAATTAACAAGTGAAACAAAAATAAGTTATTAACAATATGAATTCAAATAACCCAAATAAATTTATTAGATATTTAAAATATTGTGGCATATTGGTTCTATGCAGGAACTGTTGAACCACAGAGGCCTCGGGGCACGCACGCAACATGAGAGTTGCGGATTATATCGGCACGTTGCTAGGCAACCACTCTGTGAACGCTTGGAAGGCGCAACAGGAAGTGTGCGTGATGTCACATACCCCACTCATCCCGTAACTATGCAATGCTCAGTAAACCCCTCCCCTCTAGGCTGTGACGGCGCACAACAGTGGTAGCTATCACGTAACTATTTTCTGTGTTGTCAGTATGGAAGCTACATAACGAGGAGCATTTGTAAGTGTAGAACCACTGCGAGTCGTAGGAGGCGATGAAAAGGGAAGTCTCAAATTTGAGACAGTAAAATATGGTCGCAAGTCCCAAGGGACTCGGACCTGAGAAAGACTGCGCTGGCAAGGGCCAGTAGCATGTAAATAAGACAGACCCATCCTCTTGTGAGAGAGGACGCCCCACAAAAAAACAAAACTGTAACGTTCAACAGTAATAAATATCTGGTCACGAGCCCCAGACGGGGCTTGACACCAAGGCTTACTGACTGACTGAACGTCCGTCACAATGTGACTTGGACTTGGACTTGGAATGTAGAAGCAAAGAGAGAAAGAGAGTTACGATTATTGAGTACGGCAGCATTTAGTATGGGTTGAAGTCCAGCAGCTACGAGTTGACTTGTATTGAGTGAATGGAAGTGAATACAGCAGGAGAAGTAATTGTGATACTGCAGATGGCAGTAATTGTGAAATTGTGTAAGTGTAAGAGCGAAAGTGCAGTAAATTCACTAGTTCCAAGACGGCGTGAAGTTATTTGTCGCGTTACAAACACCCAACACGTGACAATATTTACTGCCAATTATATGGATACATTTGTTTTATATATTGCTTGAAGATCATATTGTATTGTATTTTATTTCATCCGTTTTGCTACATAGTAACACTTGGGCATGTCATTCGGTAATACAAGTTAACAAAATAAATGTACAAAGTTACAAGCATACTACCAACATTTGTTACAATCATAAGCAATGTATAAATACAACATTCCAAAAAATATACAAACTACTATATACAGCTCATGAATTGCTATGACATCCAAACATAAGTACTTGCACCCTCCACTTTTTTTATTAAAACTAACAAATTCATTAATCGTATAAAAAGAGTGTTTCAATAAAAATGATTTTAAGTCTTTTTTTAAAAGCTGAAAACCCACCAAGTTCTTTATTTTGTTTGGCACCTTACTATACAATTCTATCCCCATATTTACCACACTTTTTTTTAAATAATGTAGTTCTGCAGAATTGAACATGAAAATCCTTGTTTATTCTTGTATTATAACTATGAATATTTATATTTTGGATCAAATCTGCTTTGTCCTTTTTTATGTAACATAACACCTCTAAGATATACAAAGATGTGACCGTGAAGATGCCATAATCTTTAAAAATTTGCCTGCATGATTCTTGTTTACCAAGTCCACTAATATTCGCAACACCCTCTTCTGCATTTTAAATACCTTTATACTATCACCTTCATCCCCCAAAATATTATTCCATATCTCAATAACGATTGAAACTTTCCAAAATAAATGCTTCTTAACATATTTGGACTCAAAACTCCTCTTAGTGATATAATTATATAGGATGTTTTACTAAGTTTTGAACATAATGACTGGATGTGGGTATTTCATTTAAGGCTTTCTATAATATCTATACCTAAAAATCTCAGTTCTGATGAGTAAGCAATTTCCAAGTTATTATAGAGTATCTGCGGTCTAACTACAAACCTATTTTTACTAAGATGGAATGACATACCAGCTGTTTTTTTTTAATATTTATTAAAAGGTTATTTACATGAAACCATGTTTCAAGCTGAGTTACTGGTTGATAACAGGTTTCTGAGTGACAAGTTGGAGAGCTTGTTAAGGGAAACAGTCATGACTGTTCTGAGTTTCACACATAAACTTCACTGTAGGTCTTCATGCTGTACATTAACTAGTGAATATTAAGATTATAGTATGTGATTTCACTACTTTAGAATTTGTCTCTTGCTGAGCATTTATGTCAGTTGATTTCATTTTGTTTAAGTTTTTAAAAACATGCCTGAAATTTACATAATTTAAAATTTCATATTATTGTATTTATCTTCCAAGATTAAAATGCAATCATATGATTCCATGTTTATGCGATTCTAAGAAGTTATGAATGGATCAGATATTTTCGAAGAAGTAGACCTTTTTTTTTTTTTTCTATATTCTTATATCCAATTTTATTCTTCAAAATATTATGAAGTTTCATAAAGCCACATTCATTCTGGTCCATCACACTAGTAAACTAAATTGTATAATAATTGATAACACCATCCAGTGTAATTCAATCTGTAGATATTTACTGCCTTTACATGTTTCAGTCAGATGTGACCATTGTCAGAAGGCATGAGATCAACGTCATGTCCTATGTATACATTCTGATGGCTAGTGAAATGTAGAAGGCTATTATATACTGGATGTTTACCTAGAACTGGAGAAAGAAGGAATGCATAGAGAATTGTGGTGGGGAAATGTCTGGAAAGTCATGGATGACTGACATGGAGCTGGGCGGTGGATAGAATTGACTCAGGATCAATGCCCACTTGTGGGCTTTGGTTTGGTGGTAGTTGCATTGAACTTTTGGGTTATGTTCCCAAAGTATTAGACAGATGTCTAATTCAACAGATGTTGAAATTTGCTGTAAAAATGAACTAATAAAATTGTGAAACATATGTGTCCACCCAAGGGCAAAAATCAGTAGAATGTCTAATGAAGAGGTGGAAAGGAAACCCACGAGTGTAACAGGCCCTAAGGAATTGTCAGGATGAATAAGAAGAAAATCTATGCCTTTGGAATATGAATAACGTTAAATTATATAAATGGGGTTCCTTATGAGATTCTTTAGTGAAAATGAGCAGGGTATATACCGTGACATTTTCTGGGCTAGTAGGCTTGACTTAAACTCCCTCAAAGCTTGTCGCATTTTCTCCAGACTGTATGCAGTAGCAAGGTGAGCCAGCACTTTATCTTTCACTTCTTGAATTTCCTTTGTATCCGATGTGCCTTCATGTGCACCAGTGTATTTAACTGCTTCATTTACGATCACTTCTTCAATATTACGTAGTTTGGCATCCATATTATCAATTCTTGTTTCCTCACTTTGCTCTGGAACAAAATTGCAAATATATCACTGAGATTAACCAGTTGATTATGATGATGTGTGTGTCTGTAATATCGTTTCTGAAACTGAATATGAGAAAGCCTTTTCCATAGTATCTGTTAAACATGAGCTTAGAATTAAGCTGCAGATTAAAAATAAGTAGACAACCACTTGTTTGTCTGTAACAGAAATAATTATGATCATATCAAGAAGTCCTTTAATGAAAATCTGAAATCATATTTTTCTTAAAATATGTCAGTTTTGCATGATATATGATATTCGTATAATTAGCTAAAATACTGTAGATTATTTTTGGCACCAGGCATTATTATTGTTGTGACTTAATATTAATATTGAACAGAGGTCCCATTTATTTCAAATCTGTTGTGTATGTACAGCTGCATGTTATTAATCACATGCAGAACAACAAAATTACAGTCACACTTATAATACCTGAATTTTCAAGCTGGTTGCTCTTCTTTGAAGTTTCGCCCTGGGCAGTCCTGGTGAAAATGTCAGTGTCAAACACTCGAGTGTCAAATGGCTGCTCTAGGATAGCTTTCTTGCTCTGTATGTGCTCATGGGAGTGTGTTGTAGGGAGCTTCTTACTGGGGTTTGTGAACGTGGCAAATGTTTTGTAATATCGGTTCAGTAGCCATTCATTGTCAAGAGGATGGTCACTGGATGTTGCTTTAGAATCATTTCTGTCCCCATTAGGTCCAGTCTTCTTCCTACGTCGATCAATGCCAAAGTAATCTGACCAGTTTATGGATTTCTTTTTTATATCCAAAGGGGGTTCAGCCCGGCTCATTGTCACAGGTTGTTCTATCATCCTCTCCTCTGAACCAGGTCCATGCTGTTGTTCATGGTGATCTGTGGTGTTCTGTTTGAGCTCAGCAACTGTAGAGCTGTTGGTCACGACTGGTGTGTGTGTTGTAGCAACATGCTCAGTGTCAACCAGAATTTTGTCGGAACTCTTTTCACTATGCGCTGACTCTTTCAGGTGTTCTTTAGATTGCGATTGATCACTGGCTGTGGGAGAGGAGAATATCTGGTCAAGTTCACGTGCAACTTTTGGGTCAGTAGTGACAACAGCATTTTTCTTTTTGCGTTTCTCAGAGTTATCCATCAAGGCAAATTTCTTATGATGGAGCAGTGGCGGACTTGTGTAAAAGTTGGAGCTCCGTTTTGTGACTGGGTACCTCTTCTTCATAATGGCTGTGTCATACAAGTACTTTTTTTCTGGTGCTGGGAACACTTCGGTAAAAGGGAATATCCCTCTGACATTGTAATTGGGTTGTGCTAAAGACACAAGACGTTTTTTTGACAGTCCAGCTTGATGATCACTCTGCTGGGCCAAAGCCAATCTCTGGTACTCATCTTCATTGGAGTTACTGGAGAGTTCTTCTGGAGCTTCTCCACTCTCCAATTCTTGATACCAAGGATCAGGTTCCCTGATGTTAAGCTGAGATGAAGGTCGCAGAATGTCCTCATCGCGTTCATCGAGTAGATCCAGACCATCATCATCCTTCAGAGACTCTATGGCTTCACGATTAGCAGCTGGGGACACAAATTTCAGTGAGTACAGGAAGCTACCCTTTTGATTCTCATCTCCATCCAACCTCTGGTTCCAGCGCTTCTTGAATTGGTGCCCGCCTACACCCCAGCCTCCCATAAGGGCGTTATGAGTTAAGAAGTCATATCCTCTACTATACTGTCTCTTTCTCGCCTCCTCTTTAATGCCTTTCACATCCTCATTATCCAAGTAGGTGTTGTCTCCCAGATAATTTAGGATCTCGTCAACATCTCCTTCTGAAATGTCCTCAATGTCTATCATATCTGGATTATTCTTACGGTACTTATCCCACACTGAACGTAGAATGGCTAAATATTCTTCTTCACTATTTTCATCCTTCATTGTACTTCTTTCCCTATCTCTTCTCTCCTCCTCCTCCTCCTCTTCTTCCTCGAACTTCCTCACTAGTGCACCTGACAGAATCTTTAGTTTTCGATCTTCTGCATCGTCGACAAGTTTGTTGTGAACTCTTTCACGAAACGAAGTAGGTACAAAACTTTGAAGTTCATCTCCCCTTTTCCTCATTGTTTCCAATCTGCCCACAGCATGGTGCTCTTCCCCGGTCCTCTCACGGAAAGGAGAATGCTTAGATTCAAGTTTTCCCCTGCGGTGATAGTAACTTTCATCCACCTCATCAGTGGCCCCATCTTCTCGACCACCTTTCGTTTCGTCATCCAGGTACTCCAGGAGAAGCTTCTTCAGCTCCTTGCTGTTGGCAGAGTGCGGTTGTTCGCTCACAAGTGTAGTCTGAGGTGGGAATATCCCTGGAGGACTAGCTATGGTTTTCTGGTAGCCATAGCCGATGTTCTCAGGCTGTCCATCACCTGTCATATTAAAATGAATTCAGACACCGTTAAGAAATAACCACATAACAATTACAAAACAGAGCCTCTTCACATGCATTTCTTTAAACTTCTGAAGCAAAATGTTAAATGTGTACTGTTTGTTTTAAAATTCTAAAAAAAATCATGTCATTTAGTAGGGTCTATTTGTATTGTCATTGTTTACACAGCCATTGATAACAAATTAGTTACAGTTTATTTTATTAGTTTTAGGATGGGATGAGACTGAACCCCTTAGCACTGCATCTCCTCATAGAGGCCAGTTGCAGTAGCCATTGGAGCCTTGGCTGAATGATAATTGACAAAGGAAATGGAAGTACTTGGGGAAATTTCTGAATGATTATAGAGCAAGTGAGCAGTTGTTACTGCAGACTCATACCCGACTATACAGAGAAGCATGTGTAAATGAATTTGGGGACCTATGTAAGATTTGAAGTTCTCACAGCCGTGGTTATTAAGAGCTCTATCTTCAGGGATTTAATGTTTGGGAGGAACCTATCACCTCATTGAGCTTTGCTTGTCACCTACTTTCATGCTGGTTTCTTGCTTGGCTTATTCTTCTTCCCTGAAGATGTAGGTGATATGTTCCTCCGAAACGTCGATTGTCTATCAGTGGACTACATGGCGTTACATCGCAGTAGGTAGAACTCTTCTGATAGTGATCTGTTCCTATGTACTGTCCTAGAACTCGGCTGAACAGAGTAAAGGAAAGCACGACTTGCCTCAGCGAGGATGCGTAACCAGTAAGCACGCTGAGATTTAAAACATGTAGACATTACATACCATATATATACGTATATATATATATGCAGGGTGTTCAGGTGTTTGGTGCCATACTTCAGGAGCGTACTGAGGGTTCCCTATAGAACAAATTTGAAATAGGAATCCATGTCTGCAGACTGGTGAAATCTATGAGGCTGCAATGGACTGGATATATATATACAGAGTGTTTCACGACTTTAGGACATAACTGCAGGAGGTGATTTCCTAGGTCTTTGTGATCAAAAAAGTTCATATAAACGTGTGTCCGATTTTGGATGGTTACGGAGTTATGACCGTTTGTTCATTCCCGTACACGCCCTCGTGTGAACCGCGTCTGTCAGCTGGCGGGTCGCTATTTTTAGCCAGCTACAGACAGCGTTCTCGTTATCACGACACTTGAGAGGCACCTAAGGCGTGGTGGGTTGGTATGTCCGGCGCGGTTCACAACCGAGCGGCAGCCTGTGTTGCGGCCGGCGGTTGCAGTTTCGAAAATCAGCTTTAAGCACCAAACTGAGGAAATTAAAGGTAATTTCACGAAGTTAACCTTACATTCATACTTTAAATGTATCATGTATTATGCTGGTTTATTATTTTGTTTCGGTTATTGTCAGTAATTGTTACCTTCTATTCTGAGTTTAAAAGGTCGTAACTTCGTAACCGTCCAAAATCGGACACATATGTATGAACTTTTTGATCACAAAGACCTAGCAAATCACCTCTTGCAGTTATGCTCTAAAGTCATGCATTGGGAAGACAAGAAATGCTTACAGAATTACGATGTGAAATCAGGTGGAAGGCAACCACTTCTAAGATCGAAGAGGAGATGGGACGTTAATTGACTTAATTCAGGATGGTGCCCATTCCTGGGCTTTGGTTTGTGCTGTGCTGAACTTTACAAATTGTATTCAATACTTTTCTTCCAATAGAGTTGTGTGCCTTGAATATGAACACATATGTGTAAGATTTGTGTGTTTTGAATAATTGTTAGCCTTTTAAATCGATGTTTTAATATGTCGTCATCATTCACGCTCTTCTTAAGTATCTAATATCAAATTCCCACGTAGTTCCTGTTCTGTAAAATCTGTGAAATTTCTGTCTTGTTTATACTGGCTGCATATGATATCCAGTAAGCTGCTTCATTCGAATTGGTTTCTCTTTTCTACTGAAAATATTCGCGCCTACAACGTAATCCCCATCTGACACACGAATGCATCGGGTGGTTTCAAGAATTTCTGATTTGTTGACAGGTTACGTAAGTTGACATGTTTGGTCAGATCGTACTCGTAATTCACTCGTCAGGGCTCAATTTCCAAAAAAATGCAACCTCAGTGAACATTCTACTGCATGTTAGGTAGGGTTGTAGACGTGAATCGCATGTGGCGAACTGTGGATTATGAGTGTAATTTTGTGGTGTTTACGTACTTGTATGTGGTTTACATATTGAACGGTGTTCAAAGCGGTGGGATGAATGATATTTGACTTGGAGAATTTCTTGTTAATTTATGTGCAGTGACTGAAAAAGTAAAACGTAGAAGTGGCGCTGGAGAAAAATATATTGAAATTACTGAACACAATACTAGTATGAAAGGATGAGCAGATAGAATTTTGTTAAATTATATGTGATTTTAACAAACCCGAAGTGACATTTACGGTTGCAAAATGTATGTTGTGATGTTAATTCAAGATTTAGAACTACTTTTTCAGCAAAATGTTTTAAAAATTAAGCAAAGCTGCAGATAGTTCTTGTGTGTGTTTCCGTGAAATTGTTACCTCAGACGATTTAAGGAACCTAAAAGAGGTAAGTGAGGAAAGCATGGCTCATGCACAAGAGAGATTGAAAAGGTACACATGTAAGTGGACAATAATCTCCTTCTAGATTCTAATTCAAATGGGGAAGTGCTCAGGCCTGTAGTCCTGGTGACGCATTTGGACTGACAAAAGTAGAATCCAACTAAGGGAAAATTTTGACCGCGTCATAGCTCAAGCGGTTAGTCGCTGGTTTCCCACCGCGGCTGCCCGGGTTCAATCCCGGGTCTGGTCAAGTGGGATTTGTGGTGGACAAAATGGCACCGAGGCAAGTTTTCTCCGAGTACTTCGGTTTCCCCTGCCAATCTTCATTCCACCAATTGCTCCACAATCACCATCACCTATCATCTGGGGCTAGTACAATAGGCCAGAAGTGGCCGCAATACAAGGGACTTAGTCCCACCCCACTAGCAATAAAAATAAAAAAAAGGTATTTATCCTGTATACACATGTTTACGATACATGTCTGTGAGATACGCGTACTCTGTGCATTTTCCAAGGTGTTCTTGTTGTTAGGAAACTCTTTACTCCTAAAATTACCTACTGCGTTTCCAAGCACAGAGTGGCAGCTCTATGGTAGTTTTCCAGTTATGTTCGCATGTCCGTAGTTAGCCACATTTTCTGGAATTTTCAGGACAACTGAATGCAGTGAAGCCTTCAGAGTATGGCATGAGTATTCTACTCTTGAAGTTACTGGGTAACATTGATATCAATTTATGACGATGGGGGACAGTCTCCGAAACCTTGAGAATTCCATATTGATACGACTAAGGGCGAGGGCACACCAAGGAAACCGGCAACCGCAACGCAACCGCGATTTCCGAAAATTGTTATCAGCCTGAGTTGAACACATGGTACTGAATGGAACAGCGCAAATTGAGGAAATGGCAACGCAGTCTCCTCAGGCTAGCAGTTCTCGGAAATTGCGGTTGCCAGTTTTCTTGGTGTGTCGTCGCCCTAGGACCGTATGAAATAACTTCATATTACATTTTAATTAAATCTAGCGCAGGACTGAAGACTGTTTCATCTGACGCCTCTGGTGGATAAAATTACGATGGTTATACTGTGGAGCATCTCGTGTCTAAGAGTTCGGGAGGCCAGGCCCAACCAACATTTAATGCCTTGATATGTAGAAGTATTTTGATGAATATCTAATTTGTTTTCATTCATAAACAAGTCTAACTTATAATCTGTTTACATTTTGTGTTACGTGATACTTTTTCAGAACCCTCGGAGAAGATGATAATGCTGCAAGAAGTCTTTATAGGGCTACTCTCTGTTTCACATTGAAGTTTCTTCTATACCTGATGATGGCGTCGGATGGATATCACGTCTTTCCCTCAAAAGTCTGTTCCGTTTCCATTTGGGCCAGGAGTTCCGGCCCTCGTGAAATTCCTTATGTACTCGTGCCCCCCCCCCCACTTCTGAACATCCGTTATTTTATCATGCGCTATAGATAATTAAATGACTCGGCCACAGAAGGAGAAAAATTCATGCTGACTTTTAAATTTCTTGTGTTTCTGTATTTGTGAGGGATTAAATATAATTTTATGATACTAGTATGTGTATGTGTATACGTATGTATATGTGCGCTTACGTTTTAATTTTGAGTGACAAGCGGTTGAACATTTGTTAGAAACTTCCTGCCTACGCAGAAATGTGTAGAATTACTAGCAATTTGAAGGTGATATTACGGAAGCAAAAGGAATGTAATTTTAATGCTGGTTCTTGTTAGGTACGGCATTTGAAATTCAGTTGATGATGTATCGAAATGAATTTGAAGACAATTTCGAAACGATTTAGTGTCGTATAAGTCGTTTATGCTTGTACCCATTCCTGCTGAAGCACGCATTGGCGTTGTCTGTAAGATCGACCCGTGGACAGATGAGCATAGCAGTGTCCTGGTCCATGGGACACTGGATTTCTGCCAAGAGTTGTACGTCACAGTGAGTTCGGCTGTCTTGTTTAACACGTTCTTATCAACACAAATAAGCGTAAACTTTCCTCCCCCAAAAGACACTACGCAACATAAAAGTAAGCTATTAAAATATGAACATTTAAATGGGAACACACATTTTCCCCCCTTTTGTAAATCAAGTCTTGGGGAGAGCGTTAAATTGTGTTTTTAGGCGATCACAAGCCGCCACTGACTGTACGGATTGTATACAGTGGTCAGATGACTCATGCATGCCATGACAACCCCACACCATTTTACCCGTGAAGTCCCGGGGAGCTGCTAGGAAGGCCAACTCGTCCACCGGTTCAGTATCCCTGTCCGCATAGCGGTACGGAGACAGTCCTCCACTGGCATAATAGTTGGGTCTTGGACCCTCCAGATCTCGCTGGCGGCGCGATACTGCCTCGATAGCTGTCTTCAGGCTGTCATTTGGGTGTTCATCTTGCCCTTCGGTCAGGGATATTACAACTAACACGCACCACAATAGGGCAGTCCAGGATTGCATGATGCGAACCCAGTGCCGACCTGCAAAGAAAATGTACATGGCTATCAGAAGTTATTTAGATGTGTATTCGTGAAGTAAATGGTTTGAATCTTGATTGGGTTATCGGCTATTACGATGTCTCGTCAGATATATCTGCATAACAACTTCAAGTGGGCCGCGACTGCTTCCTTAGAAGTCCTCCCACTTAATTCGGCAATATATAACATACTCCGTGGTCTGTAGTCCACAAGTGAACTATACCGACCGAGCGACCGCCGCTTGTCGGCGAAGATAGTGACAACTTTTGCGGATAGAGGGTCTCGCGTGGTCAGCGCAATAAATCCCCACGGCTGTTAATTTCGGTTTTCTAGACCGGAGACGCGGTTTCCTTGAAATAGCTCCTCAGTTATCCTCACGAACTGAGTGGAACCCGTTCCAGACCCACTACCCACTAGACCACAGAGGTGGTCCAGTATATGGAAGTAGTATAAAATAACTTTATAAAGTAACTTAAGAATCAGTCGCGACGAAGTGTAACGGGTATGCTGGTAGCTGCTGTTCTCAATGCACGAAATTTTTAGGTTATGTTGATCAAAAATTGGCGGGTGATAATAAAATAGATATTAAATTAGTAAATTATGCGGGTATGACCGGATTCATTTGGCTCAGGATGATACATTGTGACGAGCTCTTGTGAACAAGGTAAGCTGTTGCAGGTACTGACAATACAATAGATAACGTATTTGCAATATTAGATTCCCATGCGGAAGATTACTATGAGAAATAAGAGAAACAAGGAGATAAATAGTCTGTTGGATCAGTCTGACATTTGGAAAATCGTTTTCTAAACTGAGTTTATTGTGAATTTCAAAATAAATTATATCTGGTGAAATCTCGTACATAAAATTATTATGAACATTAAAGCGTTAAAATGGGCTATAGCTACTTATTTGCAAGCACAATCCTACGTCCCATTTCCAGTGAAGTGTGAGTTATTGCAATACCGGAAATGCGTTCGTTTTCATTTGGATTGCTGGTCATGGCTGCATTGAGTATTCTTGCTGGGGCTGGAGTTCTCTTGTGTGCCAAAAGCAACCACGTGCAGCCAGCATAACCAAAATAACCAGAGGCAACTGCAGTAAGAGGAAAGAAAACCGCATTACGGTGAACATCAGAATGCTTATCCACAACACCTGTACACCTGAAGATGACCAGCTAGGCAGAAACATGTAGTGATGTTGCAATTAGACGGCGCAAAAACTCCGAAGACAGAATGTTGTGTTCGTCGATCGGAGTGTGCCATCACTTACAAGTACATGTATACTTGTACGTATATAGTTAACACAAACTAATATTATAACGGTACTGATAATAGTAAAAGGGTCACATAACCTAAGAAACAATGAGCCAGTTGGTGACAGAATAGTTGGATGGTTTCCTTTTGTCTCGGAAGTAAATTAACATACATTCCTGTCCAGATACGGAGTTCAAGTCAGATGCATCTCAGCATGGCTGAACACTTTCTCTTCAAACAAATTTAAGCTACAGACTTATGGAGTGTATTTATGGACAATATGCTCCACATTTTACAGGTGTTCCCCTGATCCTTATAAAGTTATTTATCAAACGTGTATCAGTTACTTCAGCCGTAGCCCGTGAACGCGCATGAAAATACCAGTTAAGCCCCATGTCACGGAACTGGTTCTCTCATAGACACTAATTTATCCCACCAGGTAGTTTAAGCAAGTTTGAAATCCAGACTATATCACGCTAGCTTAGCTACTTTAGCTTTGCAGGGGAATTTATTGCTGTTGTGGCATAATATTTATTACCTGCCAAAAAATAGACATGTTTTCGATTTTAGTATAAGTTTTCCCGTAATTTTCTTCAGCTTTTAAGTTAAATATCAGGTTAATATACTGAAGTTGTGGGAACACTGTGTAAGATTTGAGGTTTTCACTGCGGTGACTATGAAGAATGCCGTCTTCTGGGATATGGCGCAGTGTAGACCTTCAGCGTCTGCTTACACTACTCGTTGCTAGGTAACAGCTCAACAATGGCTACGCCTTTACAATGTCTTCACTATCCGTTTCCTGACAATGGATTTATAACACAGGCACTATAGAAGCCTCACGTTCCCAATATCACTGCACTACAGCATATATACGGGTAAAGTCCCACATTAAGTCTTCTCAGGCTGACTTATAATTCTTTTCCAACTACGAAGTTCCCGTGGCTATGTCCTACCGACAACTGACTCTGGCCCAGTTCTGTCAATTCCTTCGTTACAAGCGCGTTATACTCGTATAGCATCCGCACGGACTACGCACAGAAAACAGCACTGTACCCTTGCGTGGTGCAGACTACACAAGTCAAAGTCAAAGTCACATTGCGACTGACGGTCAGTCAGTCAGTAAATCTTGGTGTCGAGCCCCATCTGGGGCTCATGACCAGATATTAATTATTACCGTTTGACAGTTACTGTTTTATTTTCGTGGGGCGCCCTCTCTGACGAGAGGACGGGTCTGTCTTGTGCATATGCTGCTGGCCCTTGCCAGAGCGATCTTTCTCGGGTCGGAGTCCCTTGGGACTCGCGACCATATTTTACTGTCTCAGATACGAGACTTCCCTTTTCGTCGCTTCCTACGACTTGCAGGGTCACGGTGGAGGTATTCGACCCCGCCTCCACACGGGGGAGACTACACAGTAAACATTTACACTATAGTGTTGCTTGGCGCAGACCATATAGAAAACAGAGTTTCATCTATTGTTGCATGTTGGACCGTGTTTACGGAACCGTTGCCTGGCAATAGGTTGATCAAATCCATTACAATACAGACCAATCAAAAGTCAAATTTTGTGAACCAAAATGATTTGAATTTTCTTAGCATCATAACGCTACATCCACTAAATGACTCTAGTGAGGTTCTCAATGTGTACGGACGCTCTGACTTCATATCTGTGAAGCAGTGTTAAGATTTCTTTTAAAGCAGACATACATTATTTTTTTCTAAAAATTTAAAAGTATTAAAATGAAACCGCTGCCTTTATAAGCAAATACGAATTATCACAAAGTTGATTTGAATAAGTGTGCAAGAATAAAACAAGAAATCGTCATTGTGTAATAATAATCTACAGTTGATTCAGCATCGCAGTGTTCGCGTTCTCCTGCCTAAGCAAGGCCCCAAACAAGCCATAGACGGAGAATCAGCTCATACCAACATATCTAGAGCTAGTAATTCCATCGAAACTCGATAGATCAACAAAAGAGTGGCGTCACAAGCGTGGAAACGTCACTACGAGAAAGAAGGAAGACTGTTACGATGTCGCCTTCATCCTCAGGTTAGATGAGAAATCCAGGCAAGATGCAGGCAGTTCTGCTTGACGTCAGCTTCTTGCATTCGTGACTGTGAGAGTCTTAGTTTGTGTTTATTTCTGGTTCGAATATCTTACTGACTGAATAACAGAAAAGTTACGTTTGTAAAGAACAGCGTATATGTTATATGTGTCAAGTTTTTGTTTATGAGAGAACGTGTACTTGTAGTGTGGGCGTTATTTGCGCCGGGACGCCATTCCAGGTCGCTTCCTCAGGGAGCGTATTCGGGCCGTCTGTCAGCGGAGCTGCTCGCCAAGGAATGTGCAATATTGGAGCTCAGAAGTGGAATCGTTAGCATGTCTTTCTTTTTAATAAATTTGCCATCTGGAATTTTCCAGGACGCGTTCCAACGCGGGACTTCCGTGGTATAGAGATTTCTACCAGTATTTTGCCTGTTCACTTGTAAGGCAAATACCTTCGACGATGCAAACTAATAAGGTCAGGGTTCCTCTCGTTTTTAGCCTACTGCTCTTATTTTTATAAAAATAAAAGTAGGCTTATGCGATCACCATGCTGTCTGTGTGTCTGTGAATGCCCCCTCTCATTAACTTTTGAATGTCTGAACAAATCTTTATGAAACTTGAAATGTATATCATAGCACATGAGCCCATTCCAACGGCATACTTCATAAACCCCTCCCATCAGTCTGTGTCTATATGTCTATACCCTATCGTTGCTACGCAACGGCTTGGTAAAAACGTTGGCGCGGCAGTGGATACAGACGCAACAATAGAAGAAATGCTGGACGCTTAGTTTTCTATGCGGCCCGTGTCTTATCAGGGAAAGTAGGCGATTAATTTTTCTCAGAAAATTTTGTTTTATTTCTTATTGCAAACGTCTCGTCGTTCAAGAGGATCATATTANCGCCGACCCACCCGCCGCGTCACTGCTGGTGTGTGGGGGGGGGCTCGGCTTGGCGCAACATTTCAAAATATTATACGAATGTCTTATAATTTGGGCAGTATTCATATTATTACAGTTTTACATTATAGATACTTCTAGATAAATTAATATTTTCATTCCTTCTTTTCCAAGGTCTTCCGTGGTCTCAACGTTTCAATATGTAGAATAATTACGGTATTTTTCATCAGTCATTGTATCCTTACGGTTTATCCAGTTTTGTTTGTTTTCGCCTACTTTACTTTGTAATGACTGCATTTCACTACTTTCTTAATTTCTTTCATCTTAATGTCATCTAGCCTAGTGCAGTCTTCAAATGAAACTTACGTTAACAGCTTTTACGGTAAGCATCAAATTTCAAATTTAAATTAAATCTGGTTAATAATGATGGAGATCGTCACCCGTAACATTTTTTCGGAATGTTCCAGAACATGTGTCCATTTGACCTTTCGGTTCGAGTTGATGAATAAATTTCTTGAGTACATCATTTAAGAAATCTCGTAATTCAATTATTTATTATTTATGTGCTGAGCCAACAGCCGCAAGGCCAATAACAGACACAGCACAGTGTAGATAAAAGTAGTTACATACTGGACAAACACAACATAAAGTCAAAGACTAATTAAAGGTAAGCACTGGAGGAAAACAAATTAATTCACATAACTAAACAAACAAACATAATAATTCAATTCAATTCAATTAATGTTTATAACTGCAATAACTTCACAGCACAGTGGCCAATTACAAAGTTAGCACGAGTATATA